GGGATTATAGTAGACGTGGTAAAGCGTGGCTCAGGAAATACTAACTGTGGGAATACCTCTAGGATTTTCTTTTCTGACCCCCGTAAAGCCTCAGAGGCAACAGGGTTCGACCTAGCGCTTTTAGAAAGATTTGCCATTATTCTAGATGCTATAAATTGTGGTCTGAAAATTAACAGTGAAAGATTTAGGGAGTTTGCATGGGATACTGCAGTGCTGTTTGAAAATTTGTACCCGTGGTACCATATGCCATCTTCAGTACATGTGATTCTAATGCATGGGGCAGACATTATGCGCACCTTTGAGCTACCCATAGGTGTGTACACAGAAGAAGCACTGGAGGCGAGGAATAAAAACATCCGAAACTTCAGGTAAATTTAAAAAATGCATTGACGGATTAGGGATTAAAATGTTCCAAAAGTGGCCGAAATGCCAGTGTAATAACTTAATAAACTAATAATAGTGCATGTTTTCAGGGAACATAGGACCAGAAAGATATCTGGAAAACACACTATGGAAGACCTATTTAAAAGGCTACTGCTGACTGGGGATATATATCTCTCCTCCCTCAAAGCTAAGACTCATAATAAGATGATTAATCGTGATGGGAGAATAAGTTTTCTGTTAGAGTGAGGTCTTATCGACCTCTCTTAGTCCATTCTAGTCTTTTATTTCAATGACTGTGATCTACAGAGAGTTATTAATTTTGTTATTTTCTTTTTTCCTTTTTTTGTGATTTTTTTTTTTTTTTGGTTTAATGACTTTGAGACTGAGATTACGAGTAATCTAATTACTTTCATGAATTTCTGTTACATATTTTTTTTATTAATTGACTTATTTTTGAAGCATAAAGTTGTTTTTTGCCTTTTTTGCTTCTTAGTGGACAGCTAAATGGAATATGGGCTGATTTTTTCTTTAAAAGACTGTTATTATATTTTTACAGTGTACAAAATCAAGACTGTATGTTATACTAGTCAATATAAGACATTTAAACGTGTCAAAACACCCTATCCCTACCTTATCGTTACATTATTCGATCGGAACATGCCCGCAAACAACGCGAAATGTGCTAAAAACAATGAAAAGTACCTTAAAAACGCGGAAGTCCGGCATGATAGTATGAAAAATAGATTCAGCGCATTAAAATACCCCCGAGGGACCCTTTTCATGAGCTTGTATGGCCGTACCGATTTATTTGTCGCTTTTGAGGTCCGCCGGCCCACTGTGCGGCGGCGGCCCGAGCCCCTCGGCCTCGACCCCTCGTATGGT